AGTATGTTTGTGTAGAGTGTGTGTGTGTGTGTGTGTGTGTGATATAAGGGTATGGGGGCTTTTTTTTTTAATATATATTTTTTTATTTTATTTAAATAAATATTCTATGTCCCCCCTCCCTTCTTACCTTTACTGGGGGGAGGGGGGACATTTCTTAGTCCCTGGTGGGGGATTCATTGGTGGTCCCAGTGGTGAGAGTTCACTCTCGCGAGATTTGGAGCGTTGCCGTGGTAACCGCGGCAACGCTCCAAATCTCGCGAGAGGAGGACCGGAGGAGCTGCAGGCTGAGCTCCGGGTCCTCCCTCTCACTCCCTCTCCCTCCCCTGCTGGCTGTCAGCACAGTGCCTGCGGACCAGGGAGGGAGATCTGTGATCTCCCCTCCGGTCCGCAGGCACATTGCAGGGCTGGCAGGGGAGGAAGAGGGAAACCGTTGGTATTCTCGGGGGGGGCAATTGCCCCGTTGCCCCCCCCTGGATCCGCCACTGGTTTGGGGGTGTTTTCTGTGTTTTGTGGAAAATGTGTGTTTTCTGCATGTGGGTAATTCAGTTAGTCCAGGGCTTCACAAATTTTTTGGAATCTAGGAGCCAGCTAATCAAGTTAGGAGCCAGTCATTTTCAACGAGAAAATGCAATACTTAAAGGGACACTTTAGTCACCAGAACCACTACAGCTTGATGTAGTTATTCTGGTGTCTATAGCCTGTCCCTGCAGGCATTTTAGTGTAAACACTGCCTTTTCTGTGAAAAGGCAGAATTTACATTGCTGTTTAGTAACACCTCTAGTAACAGTTACTCAGACGGTCACTACAGAGCCCTGGGTCACTGCTGCACCATGTGCAGCACCCAGGTTCAGTATCTCCAAGCTCTGCATGGAGGTGCTGAATGTTCCTAGTAGAGATTTAATCAGGGCTCGAGTCCTGCAGAACGCGTGGGAACGGCGTTCCTGCACTTTTTTCACAGCAGGAACGCCGTTCCCCCTGCAGGCACTCAGGGGGCGGCAAAAAATGCCGCCCCCAAATGCCCCCCCTTGTTTCCCCTGTCATGGGGGGGGGCAACCTGATGGATTGCCCCCCGGTGAACGGCTCTCTCCCTGTCACACGCGGAGAGGGAGCTGTGTGCTCTCTGCTCCCTCTCGCCGTGCGGGATGTCTGCTGATGCTGGGAGCCGGGTTGATGACGTCATATTCCGGCTCCCAGCATCAGCAGACATCCCGCGCGGCGAGAGGGAGCAGAGAGCACACAGCTCCCTCTCCGCGTGTGACAGGGAGAGAGCCGTCCTCACTGCAGCCCCACTGGACCCCAGGGAAAGGTAGGGATGCTGGGTGGGTGGGAAATGTTAATTTTTTTATATTATTATTAATTTGTATATATGTATGTCTGTTTGTGGATGTCTGTTTGTGGATGTGTGGATGTCTGTTTGTGGATGTCTGTTTGTGGATGTGTGGATGTCTATTTGTGGATGTCTATTTGTGGATGTGTGGATGTCTGTGTATGTGTGGATGTCTGTTTGTGGATGTGTGGATGTCTGTTTGTGGATGTGTGGATGTGGATGTCTATTTGTGGATGTGTGGATGTCTGTGTATGTGTGGATGTCTGTTTGTGTATGTGTGGATGTCTGTTTGTGGATGTGTGGATGTGGATGTCTATTTGTGGATGTGTGGATGTCTGTGTATTTGTGGATGTGTGGATGTGGATGTCTATTTGTGGATGTGTGGATGTCTGTGTATGTGTGGATGTCTGTTTGTGGATGTGTGGATGTCTGTTTGTGGATGTGGATGTCTGTGGATGTGGATGTCTGTTTGTGGATGTGTGGATGTGGATGTCTGTTTGTGGATGTGTGGATGTCTGTTTGTGGATGTCTGTGTATGTATGGATGTCTGTTTGTGGATGTGTGGATGTCTGTTTGTGGATGTCTGTGTATGTGTGGATGTCTGTGTATGTGTGGATGTCTGTTTGTGGATGTGTGGATGTCTGTGGATGTGTGGATGTCTGTTTGTGGATGTGTGGATGTGGATGTCTGTTTGTGTATGTGTGGATGTCTGTTTGTGGATGTGTGGATGTCTGTTTGTGGATGTCTGTTTGTGGATGTGTGGATGTCTGTTTGTGGATGTCTGTTTGTGGATGTGTGTATGTCTGTTTGTGGATGTGTGGATGTCTGTTTGTGGATTTGTGGATGTCTGTTTGTGGATTTGTGGATGTCTGTTTGTGGATGTGTGGATGTCTGTTTGTGGATGTGTGGATGTCTGTTTGTGGATGTGTGGATGTCTGTTTGTGGATGTGTGGATGTCTGTGGATGTCTGTGGATGTCTGTGTATGTGTGGATGTCTGTGTATGTGTGGATGTCTGTGTATGTGTGGATGTCTGTGTATGTGTGGATGTCTGTGTATGTGTGGATGTCTGTTTGTGGATGTCTGTGTATGTGTGGATGTCTGTGTATGTGTGGATGTCTGTTTGTGGATGTCTGTGGATGTGTGGATGTCTGTGGATGTGTGGATGTCTGTGGATGTGTGGATGTCTGTGGATGTGTGGATGTCTGTGGATGTGTGGATGTCTGTGTATGTGTGGATGTCTGTTTGTGGATGTCTGTTTGTGGGTGTCTGTTTGTGGGTGTCTGTTTGTGGATGTCTGTTTGTGGATGTCTGTATGTGGATGTCTGTATGTGGATGTCTGTATGTGGATGTCTGTATGTGGATGTCTGTATGTGGATGTGTGGATGTGGATGTGTGGATGTCTGTTTGTGGATGTGTGGATGTCTGTTTGTGGATGTGTGGATGTCTGTCTGTGGATGTCTGTCTGTGGATGTCTGTCTGTGGATGTCTGTTTGTCTCAGTGTGTGTAGGAGTGTATTTATGTCTGTTAGCGTTTGTACGTGTGTATGTGAGTGTATGTGCTTCTGTTAGTGTATGCATGTGTATGTTTGCAATTGCATGTATGTGCATACGTTATTGTAAGTTTCTGTCAAATAAGTGAGTCTGTCATTTAGTGTGTGTGTGACTATTAGTGTGTGTCTCTCTGTCAATGAATGAGTGTGTGTCAGTGAATGTGTGTGTCAAATCAGTGACGTATGTGTGTGTTACTACCAGTGTGTATCTGCCAGTGTGGGTGTCTGTCAGAGAGTGTGCTTAAAGGGACACTATAGGCACCCAGACTACTTCAGCTCCTTGAAGTGGTCTGGGTGAAGTATCCCAGTCCCCTTAAACCTTCTCAGAAACTGCAATAATTACCTGAGGGGTAACTCCAAGTCTAGTGGCTGTCTATCAGACAGCCACTAGAGGGACTTTTGGGTGGTTAGGTGACCAAAAGTCACCTAACTAATGCTGGACGTCCTCACCCTGTGCATGAGGACATCCAGCATCTGCTAAATACCCATAGCATTTTAACCCCTTCAGTGTCGAGTGGGGGAGGGGAGGACATGAGAGGAGGGGGGCACTATACGGAATTATAGTGCCAGGAAAACAACTTTGTTTTCCTGGCACTATAGTATTTCTTTAAAAGGAGCAGGAAAAGGTGGAGTCTAAAGAGGAAGGGGTGGGTTCTTAATCAAGAAGCGGTGCACCCTTGACATGAAGGAGTGGTAAATTTAGATTAGGGGGTGCTCTATAGTCATGTCTAGGGCAGCATAAAATTAAAATACACCACTGTGTGAGTGTATGTGTGTGTGTGCACGCGTGTGTATGTGTGTGTGTGTATATATATATATATATATATGTGTGTGTATATATATATATATATATATACACACACATACATACAAGTGTTTTTTTTTTTTTTTGGGAGAGTTCCCACACTTTTTTCCCCAGGACTTGACCCCTGGATTTAATGCATCTCTATGAGGAGATGCGGATTGGTAACTTTTCTGTGCATGCACAAAATCCTCCCAATGCTTTCCTAAGGGATTGATAATTGATCATAAAGATTGAAAATCTCAGCCATGGGGAAACTGGCACGGCGTATGAAAAAGGGGGAAAAAGGTGAGTAAAAACGATTGGAGGGGGCAGGTACCTAAACGCGCACACACACACTGACAGGCTCACATACACACTCACGCTGACAACAGGCTTGCACGCACAAACTCTTGACAGACACACACACACTCGACAGGCACACACACACTCTTGACAGACTCGCTCGCACACACACAGTCACTTGACAGGCTCGCATACACACAGTTTCTTGACAGGCTCACACACACTCTTACGCTGACAACAGGCTTGCACGCACACACTCTGACAGACTTGCACACACACACGCACATATAGGTGTTCACACACACACTCTGACAGGCTCGCACACACTCTGATAGGCTAGCACACACATACAGGCGCACACACATTTTTACAGACACTGACAGGCTCACACACAGACACTCTGATAGGCTTACACACACACACACACACTGACAGGTTCTCTCACACACACTCTGGCAGGCTCACACACACACTGACACACACACACCCTCTGACAGGCTCTCTCTCACACAGGCCCGGACTGGCCATCGGGTCCCGGTGGGACGCGATGGCCGTGGGGCCGAGGCTGGCAGGGGAGATCACAGGATGCAGGCTAGAGTTCACTCTCACCACTGGACCGCCAGGGATGGCAGCACAGCACCTCCACATGGCAGAACGGCTCCCCGTGACGAGGAAAATGTGGAAGCTTTATGGGTAGATATCTGCTTGGGGCAAACAAAGGGATATCAATTGTTGGTTGGAATATGTTATAAACCACCTAATGTAAATATTAATGAGGAAGAACAGCTGTTAGTGCAAATTGGGAAAGCTGCAAATCAGGGTAACACGTTAATTATTGGAGATTTTAATTACCCAGACATAAATTGGGATAGAGGGACTAGTAATTCTGCAAGGGGAATCCGTTTTTTGAATGTGTTAAATGACACCTTTATGTCACAACTGGTACAAGCACCAACTAGAAAGGATGCTTGCCTGGATCTCGTTATAACAAACAATGTTGATCTTTTAACCAACATTCAAGTAGGGGAGCATTTGGGAAATAGTGATCACAATATGGTTACTTTTGAAATAAACTCAAAAAAGCAATATTTTTACTAAAAAGTATAATTTTAAAAAAGCCAATTTCAATAAGATTAGGGCAGCTCTACAACATATCGACTGGCATAAACTCCTTAGTGATAAAACCACTGAGAAAAAATGGAAACTATTCAAACAAATATTAGAAAGGTACATTTCTCAGTATGTACCATTGGGTAATAAATATAAAAGAAACAAATTAAAACCAATGTGGCTTAGTAGAGAAGTAAAACTAGAGATTAACCCCTTAAGGACAAATGACGGAAATATTCCGTCATGATTCCCTTTTATTTTAGAAGTTGTATCCTTAAGGGGATGAAAATAAGAAAAGGGCCTTTAAAGCATTTAAAGCGGACAAATCAGAGGCATCCTATATAAGATATAAGGAAGCCAATAATACATGCAAAAAGGCAATTAAAGTGGCTCAACTAGACAATGAGAAATTGATAGCCAAAGAATGCAAAACCAACCCCAACATTTTTTTCAAGTACATCACTTCTAAAAAAAACAAAAAATGAAAGTGTAGGTACACTGTAAACAGAGATGGGTCTGTTAGTTAATGAAAACCAGGAAAAGGCAGAAATTTTAAATAACTATTTTTCTCTATATTAATGAGTTACCTATGACAAGAGATATGCAAATGATTGCTGCAAAAAACTTGCAGATAGTTTGTGATTGGATAACTCGAGACAAGGTGCTACAGCTATTAAAGAAAATTAATGTAAATAAATCTCTGGGGCCTGACGGTATCCGCCCACGAGTACTTAAGGAGCTAAGTGGGAAAATAAGTGAACCTCTGTACTGGAGGATTGGAGGAAGGCAGATGTTGTTCCTATATTTAAAAAGGGTTCAAAATCCTTGCCTGGAAATTATAGACCTGTGAGCTTAACTTCTGTGACTGGGAAATTATTTGAATTATTTGAATATATATGTGAGATAACAATAAGTGTTCTTGCAAGAACACTTAACTAGAAAAGTTACAATTTCAGGGGAAATTGTGTGAAGTGTTCTTGCCTCCACCTGTAGTCTACAACTGGAGTGGGCGGAGTAACTGTTATCATTTACATAGCACATTTAATTGCAACGTTGTTGCACAGTTACATTAAACCATACATTTATAAAAACATTAGCAGGTGTTCAAAAGGCCCTGTCTATGACATCACTTGCTGCTGCAGCTTGACACAGGTCAGAGTATTTTGGCGGTTGCCATCTTCAAACGATCGTATCTTAAAAACTATAACTCCTACAGTGAAGAGCTTTATATTGTGAGAATCACAAGACCCAGACCTACATTTTAATGCATAGTATGTCTCTGAAGTATTAAGGGATAATATTCAGGAATTCATTAGGAAGAACTGTGTTATTAGCAATAATCAGCATGGTTTTATGAAACATAGGTCATGTCAAACTAACCTAATTGCATTCCACAAAAAAGTAAGTAGAAGTATAGATCAGTGTTTGTAGATGACACAAAACTTTGTAAAGTAATAAAATGTGAGCAGGATATTGCCTTGCTGCAGATGGATTTGGATAGATTGGGGGACTGGGCACAAAAATGGCAGATTAAATTTAATGTAGAGAAATGCACTTCGGGGTTAAGAATGCACAAGCAATTTACACCCTAAATGGTAGTGAACTAGGGATAACCACACACAAGAAGGGTTTGGGAATTGTTATAGACAACAAATTAGGCAACCATATGCAATGTCAGCCTGCAGTTGCTAAGGCCAGTAAGGTTTTGTCATAAATTCTCGAGATGAAAATATAATTTATAAATTGCTGGTAAGACCACACCTTGAATATGCTGTGCAATTTTGGGCACCTGTTCTAAAGAAAGATATCATGGCACTAGAAAAAGTGCAGAGACGAGCTACAAAATTGATAAAAGGAATGGAGCATTTTAGTTACGAAGAAAGGTTAAAAAATTTAAATCTGTTTTGGAAAAACGGTGCCTGAGAGGGGATATGATAACATTATACAAATATATTCAGGGCCAGTACAAACCTTTATCTGGAAATCTATTCATAAACAGGGCTTTACATAGGACACGAGGTGGCACATTTAGGCTGGTACAAAGGAGATTTCATCTAAGGCAAAGAAAAGGTTTTTTTTACAGTATGAGTGTTAAGACCTGCAGTGGTTATGGTACTGCGGTCTTCTATTCCTTTCCCAATAGCTGATTTTTTTTAAAATGTTGGTCCCCCAGAATAGGGCTATACATGTACCCCAGGTATTTGGGGTACATCCAAAACTTGTACCTGTACCCAGGTATTTGGGGTACATCCAAAACTTGGGGGAAAATGTGTCTTTGTTAATTGGGTTACAAGCTTATCTGAGGGGAGGAAATGTGTGGGATGTACCTTATGTTTTATTGGTTGTTGTGTTAATTATGTGGGTGTCTCCCTTGCATGGGCAGAATCACATAAAAGGAGAGTACCTGCCATTAAAATTCAGTTCTTCTTGACCCTTCAAAACATAGCCTTGTCTCGTTATTGAAAGGGGGTATGCAGCTTAATCACTTAGCTCTTTTAAGAGCTCTGCCTGACTCCTGCCTTGGATCCAGTGGATGGGAATAAGCGACTCCACTAGTATACAGCGACTTGTCGGGAAGAAAAGGACGTCTCCAACGGCTGATACCCTCTTACTACCTGGGTATCCGTTACAAGCCTGTTCAAAGACCTCTAGATCTTTTCTGCGGACCACGGTTCCATTGGAGGCAATTACACAGCC